AATATATATGTGTAATGGTTTTTAAAAAATTGACCTAAGGTCAAATTGAAAAGCCTCCCTTGCCCTCTAGATCTCCAGACTCTCTTCAAAGTCAAGCACTTTCTAGTTTCTCAAATATTAATCCAGAGATATTCTACACACATACCAATACATTCTTCCTAAGACAGAGATCTCCTAACAGTACGTAAGTCCCATGAGAGCAGCAGTGTTTACAGTTTTTGCTCACTGTTGCATATTTACATTAGTTGGTTATGAACTAATAAACTTTGCTTATTATTTGTATGTTGTTCCAGGGGCTCAGAACAAAACCCCTGCAATTCTTGCCTTCTACTCTCTCATGCCCCACATACAAACAAATCCTACTGGCTATCCAGAATCTGGACACTTCTCCCTCCTACTAGCCAAGCCACTATTCTCTCTCATGGGAAATTCTACAACAGCCTCCAAACTCCTTCTTTCCTTTAACTCCTTCCCTCCATCTTGGCCCTCCTTCAATCTGTTTTTTACACATCAAAGTCATCTTTTTAAGTAAGATCAAGTCATTCTTGTCAAAATTTCACAATGGCTTCTCCATTTCGATCAGTAAAACCTGAAGTCCTTCCAGTGACCCACAAAGCCTTCCTTACAGATAATTCCCTATTACTTCCAGATTTCAGCTTCTATTACCATTTCCTTTACTTACTCTGTTTCACCCACAGTGGCTTCTTTTGCTGTTCTTCAAATACACCAGGCAGACGGCCCTAGGGTTTCTGCTCTAATCGTTTCCTCAGCCGGAGTGTTCTTCCCACCATGACAGCGTGAACAAATCCCTTCACCTTCTTCCTTTTTGAGGCTTTGCTGAAATCTCACCTTCTCTTAATGATGCTTACCCAGACCATTTAATAATGCAGTCTGCTGGACCCTCATTTTTTTTGTCCTTAGTTCTTACCACTTTTTAACATGCTATATAATTTACTTATTTAGATATGGTTATGTGTTATGGTTTATTGTCTATCTTCTCCTTGCTAGAATGCTAATTCCACAAGATTATAGCTTTTTGTATGTTTTGTTTACCAAGATAGTCCATGTATCTAGAATGTACCTGGCACATGATAGGCACTCAAAACATATTTGCTAAATTAATAGACAAATCCTCACCACTTAGTATCATGCCTTGGACTTAGATGATGCATCATTTTTTTGGAGGGGAAGGATGATTAAGCTTTGTTCTCAAAATTGGTAATAAATGTGTGATGTTCTATCCATTCCTCTGTTTAATTATCTCTGTGGCAGGAACTTTTAAGAGGACACCTGGGTGGCTCAATCAGTTGAACATCTGTCTTCAGCTCGGCCAGAATCAAGCCCCATGTCAGGCTCCCTGCTCGGCGGGGAGTCTGCTTCTCCCTCTCCCCCTGCTCTTTCTTTCATTCTCTCTCTCCCAAATAAATAAATAAAATCTTTAAAAAAAAAAAAAAGTACATTGGTTGGGGTTACCATTCTATGGCCATAAATCAAAGCAAAAGTTTGGGCACCTGCCTGGCTCAGCTGGAAGAGCATGTAACTCTTGATCTGAGGGTTGTGAGTTCAAGCCCCATGATGGGTGTAAAGATTACTTAAATAAATAAAACTTAAGTTGATATGAATAATGACTGTTAATACCCTAATTTCATTTGCATTAACACAGTGAGATATCATATCATTAACAATTAGCAATCACTCTGATGAAATGCTTCAGAAACTCTAAAATACCTCTAAATATTTCAGTAACTATGAGCATACTTTTTAACATAATAAATATAAAAACACTTTGAAGTATTCAAGCAAATGAGATCTAGACATAATCCATTTCTGATTTTGCTGTGTAGCTTGATTACCCATCATGAGCCAAACAAGTATTTATTAAGCTCTTTCTATCCAGATACAAAGATAAACAAGATGCATCTGGTCAAACATCTAGAAGGATAAACAATGCCTATTATATCATTCAGGTTCAAATCAGGAGAGAATAACCATACCAGTTATGTGAGCAGAAAGAATTTAATATGAAGAACTGTTAACTGGGTGTAGTTACTAACTAGGTAACTGAAAGGGTAAAAAGAACTCTGAGGTATCATGGGGAAAGCAACTGTAAGAAACAGCTATCACTCCCAGGGCTGGGGGAATAAAAGGCACATGCTAGAATAATTAAAACTTAGAAACTTACAGGAAGGCCCCCATGGAGCCTAAACTCACGTCTCTAAGGAAAGTGGTCTCCTCATGTGAGCAGTAAAATTCACAGGAACACCAAGCAAATGGGAACCCGAAGGAAACCACCCTTACCTTCCAGCCTTCTTCTCATGTCTCCTATTAGTGGAGCCTAGACTAACAAGAAGCCAGCTGGTAAAACACATTATGTGGTTAGTGGAGTTCCAGTCCCAAAAATCACAGAGCAGAGGAAAGAAGACTAGGACTGAAGCTCAAAGACAACTTAATAAATGGCATGTGATAAGGGCTAAACAACAGTTCAAGGCTGTTGTGTTTATAGCCTGGCCACACTCATATAAGTCTAATCAGGTATTTAAGAGAAAAAGCTCTACTGATTTTGTAGTAAGTTTAGCTCTACAATGAGTTGCAATCAACACAATTACTAGTAATATGTCAATCAAGATGAGATACACTACAGCTTACTGGGAATTCCTAGGGCAATACCCTTACATCACCCGCTCATGAGAGCAGATCCAAACAGAAATGAGTAAGACTGACATTTTTTGGCAAAATAACCTTAAATCTAATTTATTTTAAAAGTATATCATTTGAAAAACTGGGTAAACAAATTGCTTATGATACCTCAACCATCAAAAAACATAGGATGGGGCGCCTGGGTGGCTCGGTCTGTTAAGCATCTGCCTTCAGCTCAAGTCAAGATCTCAGGGTCCTGGGATCAAGCTGGCATTGGGCTCCCGGCTCAGCGGGGAGCCTGTTTCTCCCTCTCCCTCTCCCTCTCCCTCTGCCCCTCCACCCCGCTCATGCTCGCTCTCACACACTCTCTCTCTCTCTCAAATAAATAAAATCTTAAAAAAAAAACAACAAAACATAGGATTACCATGACATCAAAGTCAAGAACCAGTGAATTAGAGCAGAGATAGGTAGTACATGCTAAAGGGGCACCCAAGAAAAAACAGCAAGGAAGAGACAGTTTTAAAGAATAGCAAACAGGGTGCCTGGGTGGCTCAGTTGGTTAGGTGACTGCCTTCAGCACAGGTCATGATCCTGGAGTCCCGGGATTGAGTCCCGCATCGGGCTCCCTGCTCAGCGGGGAGTCTGCTTCTCCCTCTGACCCTCTTCCCTCTCGTGCTATCTCTCATTCTCTCTCTCTCAAATAAATAAATAAAATTTTTAAAAAAAAATAAAGAATAGCAAACATTTGAGCTAGACTTTGAAGAAGGATTTCCACTATCAGAAAAGGGAGATATAAGCCCCCCAAGCAGAGAGAATAGTGCATGCTTAGCAAAGGAGAGTTAAAGGGCTTGGCATGAGTGAAGAATGACAAGATGTTAAAAAGCTTCTAGAACCTGTGGTTTTATGGTGTGGAGGGCACATGAAGGAGAGGACACTGATACTACTGGTGGAGCAATTCAAGGTTAGAGACCATGTCCTAAGCACAATGTTAATGCATGCAGTAACATAAAGTAATAATAAAATATTTACCAATAAAACAGACTAATGGTAATTATCTGCTTAACCTTATAAACCCTCCTTCTTAAAGTATGTACTAACCATGTTTAATCTACCTACCTGTTGCAACGTCTTTTCACAATGGAGACATGCTGTTGAAACCTGGGACAATAAAATAGTCATATCTTCTTGTTGCTGCCTGAGCCAAATCAGTTTTTCTCGAACATGAGCATCAACAACACTTAGAGCCATTTCTTCTTGACGACACAAAGTTTCATGTAGATCAGAAAAATAAGCTCGGACACATGACCGGGCATTCTCTGCAGTACCTGGCACCTAAGGAAATTAAAATTAGTTTAAAACAACCTTAAACATAACAAAGATTTTATATGTGAATTAATGAAATTTTAAATACTGTCTATATCCTTAAAAATTCCAAAATTGCTATCTCAACACTTGATCTTTCTCCTTAACCACAGCCTTTGGATATCCAACTGTAAGTGACATCTGAAGCAAAATGGAATACCCACTCTCCTGTCTCTCTCACGGCCAAACCTAGTTTCCTCCATCTCAGTAACTGGCAATGCCATCTTCCATGTTGTTCAAGCTAAAAAAAACTGGAGTCGCCCTTAATACTTCTCTTTCATATTCCAGAACTAGTCCCTCAGAAAATTCTGACTTCAAAGTATATCCAAAATCTGATAAAGCTTCATCTCCTCCACCTCTACCAACCTGATCTATGACATTATCATCTCTCACCTGATTATAACAGTCTTCTAATTGGTCTCACTAGATCTACTCCTGCCCTCTACAGCGTATTCTCCACCCAGCAGCCAGACCGATCCTTTAAAATGTTAAGTCAAAAACAATTATTCTTCTGCCCAAAATTCTCCAATTGTGTCCCATTCCACTCAGAGTAAATGCCAAAATCCTTTTATGTGGGGTGTTCAAGGGCAGAAGCCCTGAGAAAGCAACATCTGAAGATCTGAAGAAGCTAAGTGAGGAAACCACATCAGTATCCTGAAGAGCATTCCTGACAGAAAGAATAGCAAGTACCCAATAAGACCCTTTCTGATCTCAACTCCTGCTACACTCTGTCATCCTACTCTAGCTGCATTTAGTCTCCCCACAGTTGTTTTGTTTGTTTTTATTGAAGTATAGTTGACATACAATGTTATATTAGTTCCAGGTGTACAACATAGTGATCTGACAATTCTACACACTACTCAGTGCTCACCACAATAAGTATAGTCACCATCTGTCACCATACAACCTTATTACAGTATCACTGACTATATTCCTTCCTATGCTGTACTTTTCATTTCTGTGACTTATTTATAATGGGAAGTCTGTACCTCTTAATCCCTAAAAATATGGAACACTTCGTAAATTTGCAAATCATCCTTACACAGGTGCCATGCTAATGACTTTTGCTGTATCATTCCAATTTTAGTATATGTGCTACTGAAGTGAGCACTCCACAGTTTCTTAAGTGCATCAGGCACCTCAGGGCGCACTTGCTCTTCTCTCTGCCTGGAATGCTCTTCCCCCAAATATTAGCATGGGTCTCATTCTCATCTGCTTTACCTCTTTGCTCAATGTTCCTTTTTCAGGAAGTCTGTCCATGAACACCCCATATAAAAGCGCACTCTCCCTTTCTCTTGTTTTCCTCCAAAGCATCTAATATACTTTTGCCATAAGTACTGACCCTTTTCCCATATTAGAATATAAACTGCAAAGGCAGAACTTTTTGACTTTTACAGCAGTATCTCCTTAGCTAGAACAATGCTAAAAGAGAGTCTAGCTCTTGTATGTGTTCAGTAAATATTCACTGAATATTTCCACTCTAGCACAAAATGTCCAATAGAGCCTTCTGTGATAATGGATACATTCTGTATCTGTGTGGTCTAATATGGTAGCCACTAGCTATACGTACTTGAATATATTTGAAATGCAGCTAGTGAAACTGAAAAACCAAATTTTGTATTTTATTTGATTTTTAAATAATTTAAACTTAAATAGCCATATGTGGGTAATGGCTACTATATTTGACAAGGCAGTACTAGTATTATTCCCCAATGACTTAGCTTTAAATTTGTTTGATTACCAAAACAAAACATTGCATTATTGTATGTCCCTGTATATTCCATCTGAAAATACTCCTTTCTCCTCCACAATTCAATTTTTTTTTAATTTTTTTTTAAATTTTATTTATTTATTTGAGAGAGACAGAGATAGCGAGAGAGAGCACAAGCGGGGAGGAGAGGGAGAAGCAGGCCTCCAGCCGAGCAGGGAGCCCGATGCGGGGCTTGATCCCAGGACCCCGGGATCATGACCCGAGGCGAAGGCAGACGCCTAACTGACTGAGCCACCCAGGCGTCCCCACAATTCAATTTTAAAAAAGCAAGCCCATAACTATCCCTTAGTTCCTTCCTTCTCTTTACAGCTAAACTTCTTAAAAGTTAAACACACTCACTTCCCAACACCCACTTACTCTTCAATTCACTGGAGGATATCTTCCTTATTATTTCACAGACATAATACATTCAGTATCTTAATTAAACTTATTACCTTGGTCCCATTATCCCTCCCAAAATTCTTCCTCCTCCCCCATTAATGCATGATATCACCATCCATTCACTTGGGCAAGAAAGAAATCCAGGCATCATGCCTGACCCTTCAAGTTACTTACTTAATCAATACTATCAATCACTAAGACCTACCTATTCTACTACTCTAAAATCTCAAGCCCATCTACCTCTCTCCATTCTCACTACTGTAGTATTATAGGCCATAAACATCTCTCAACCAGATAATTTCAGCAACCTCCTATTAATAGGTTTTCCTGCTTCCAATTCATTTTCTACACTGAAAAGCTACCTTTCTTAATGCAAATCTGATTATTTTATTCCTACACTAATTTTTCAATTGCTCATCACTGCCCTTGGGATAAAGTCTAAACTCTTTAACATAGCTAACAAGATCCTGCATGATTTGGCCCTTAACTCTCCAGCATTTTTTTTCTTGTCATGCTCCATGCAATACTCAAAGATCCAACTGTAGTGAATTGAGTTGTTTCAATAATGTGTCCAATTCTCATTACCAGGCATTTAACCTGTGCTTCCCTCAGTGGGACAATTCACTCTTGAGCCCACTCTTCTCCCTGACTAAATTTCTTCAAATCTCAATTTAATATCTTGTATTCTGGGAAGCTTTCCCTGACTCAGCTAAATTAACGCCCCTCTTATGCAATGCTAAGGCATCCTATACTTCCCCACAAAATAAAGTTACCACACTTAAAACTGGCTTTCTTCTACGATGGATTATAAATTCCATGAAGACAAAGCCTTTTTTAAAAACTTATTTTCAGTCACTAGTGCAGTACTAGCACAGTGTAATTGCTCAATAAATATAAAAAGATGAAAAGGTTAGAAGTAAAAAGGGTAAGAATGTAAAGAGAGAAGAAAAGAATTCCATACATGTTCTGTGTGGGCCATTCCAATTCCATCTTCCACTATTTGTTCTCCTCCTTCAATGTGCTGAACGATTCCAACTAATTTTCTGGAATAATCTGAAATTTCCTCAGTGAAGGTCCGTATGCAGTGAGCCATATCTAAAATTGATGCTCGGATCTGGTTAGCTTCTGGTTCCAATACTGAATGCTAAAGTGCAACAAAATTACAGAAAAGAACTCACAGTATTGACTAATGATATAAAATGCTATTTAAATCACTCCAATGATAAAAAAAAAGGCATCAGCCACAAGTAGCTTTTATAACACATTTACAAAAAGCACAAGAAAATAAATACTAATTTACTTTCACCCCAAAACTATTTATCCTCCAAAGAAATAATTTAGAATTTGGGAGTCCATTTATTGCTTAATAACAGTCCAAGATGGGGTGCCTGGGTGGCTCAGTTGGTTAAGCATTCAACTCTTGATTTCAGCTCAAGTTGTGATCTCAGGGTTGTGAGATCCAGCACCCCCAACAGGCTCCACACTGGGCATGGAGCCTGCTTAAGATTCTCTCTCTCCCCTGGGGCACCTGGGTGGCAGAGTCCGTTAAACCTCTGACTCTTGGTTTCAGCTCAGGTTGTGATTTCAGGGTCGTAGGATCAAGCCCTGCGTCAAGCCCCACGTGAAGCCCTGCATCTGGCTCCATGCTCAGCACAGAGTCTCCTAAAGTTTCTCTCTCCCTCTTCCTCTGCCCCTCCCCCTAACACGTTCTCTTTCTCTAAAATAAATAAATAAATCTTAAAAAAAAGATATTCTCTCTCTCCCTCTCCCCCCGTCACCCTCCTTCTCTCCCTCCCTCTAAAAAAAAAAATTCACGAGACTCACTATAATTTCACCATAAACAGCAGTTCATCAATAGACATAAATATTGTTACCACAATCCAGTGCATTATGAAAACATGCGCACAAAGAAATTTTGTTTCCTACTGGAAAGCTATTTTTCAGTGAAGAAAGAATGATAAGGCCTCTCTGAAATTTTTGTTAGGCTATTCAAAAATTAAATCTCTCATTTATTTTCATGCCAAGCTCAACTCATTCATTACTGAACTCTTCTTCAATTCCTACTTGTCATAAAGAACCAAATCAATGGAAACAAATGGTAGGTTGGTAAACTAGGTAGAGTCATCCAGTCTAATTATATTCATACCTTGTGACCTTGATGTTTTCCATATTCTTTGCAGACACAGCACATAAGTGGGCTAGTTTGACAGCCTTCTTCCAGGCAAACAAACTCAATGGCATGTACCTGATGCTGAGAGCACATGGTTTTCTCATGAGGTTTATCAGCTAGAGGCACCCGTCTGTGTTTTGCTAATGTCTTTGTAGAATGAGTAACTTGAGAACACTCTGAGCACAAATGAGTTGCACATACAGTGCAATATACAGATGCAACGTGAGCTTCATCTTCATCACAACGAATGATGCTCTGATAAACAAGAAATTAATGTCTTCAAACTGAACCTCAATCATTATACATGACAAATTTTAAAATATAAAAGCCCATAATCTTTTTTTAACTGACCAAGCTTTACATATGAAAATATGCTGTTAATTAAGTAAAAAGGTCATTTATGACTCATCTAAGAAAGTATTCATTTCTATAGGTGAGAAGCTATTTCCAAAACTGATTATTAATATGTGCTATGAATTTGAGGCCAAAAATAAAACTGTTCTCATAGGTTCACAATCAGTGTAAAGGTATCTTCCATGAAAGCCCCTCATTTAAAAAAAAAAAAAAGAAAGCCCCTCATTTTATATAAAAGAAACTGAACAATACAGGCTAGAAATCTTTTTTTTAAGACTAAAAAAACTGATAACAAATACATCCCCACTTGCTTAATTTTTTTTTAAGATTTTATTTTTCAGTAATGTCTACACCCAATGTGGAGCTTGAACTAACAACCCTGAGGTCAAGAGTCCCATGCTCTACTGACTGAGACAGCCAGGTGCCCTGCGCCCCTCCTTCCCCCCAACGCTGCTTTAAATACTATTTATCATGGTGATGTATAGAAAAAAGAGAAATGCAAATGCTATTTTGAGAAGCAGGTGTACGCACAAGAATCAGCTGCAAAGTTTTTAAAAACACAGATGCCCAGACTCTAACCTAGGAAATACTTATTCCAATAGATTGTAGAAGCTTGAGCTGTGTATTTTTTTCTAAAACTCCACAGGTGAGTTCACTGCACAATCCTGGGTGAAAAAGCACTGATTTAAGCAAATAAAAAATAAACAAATAAAACCTATGTTATATATAAGCTTTTAAATATTATTTCTAATTTTCATGAGTTACTGAAAAGCACCCAGGTTGAAAACCTTTATATGTCAGATAATCAAGAATGTTTTGAAACTTATGCTGAATATTAAAAGGCCATAAATGGAAAGGGAGCAATCTGGAATAAATTGTTCCAGAAATAAAAATTAGAAAACACATCAGTGGTGTTATTAAATATCACATTAAACTAAAAAAAGAACCCAAAGGTAAACATTTTTTATTTGCAATTATGAGAAACAGGTACATGTAAAATTAAAAATTCATATCGTTTTCCAGACATGACAAATAATTTACAAGGTCAACATTAGACAATATTCTAATGTCTTTTGAAAGATAAAAGATATAGCACATGAAAGAACTACAAAAATTTTAGAAAACAGTGCTCCCTGCAACTGTATGGTCAACCAATCTTCAACAAAGCAGGAAAGAATATCCAATGGAAAAAACACAGTCTCTTCAACAAATGGTGTTGGGAAAACTGGATAGCAACATGCAGAAGAATGAAACTGGACCACTTTCTTACACCACATACAAAAACAAATTCAAAATGCATTAAAGACCTAAATGTGAGACAGGAAACCATCAAAATCCTAGAAAAGAACACTGGCAGCAACCTCTGGAACCTCAGCCACAGCAACTTGTTGCTAGACACATCTCCAGAGGCAAGAGAAACAAAAGAAAAACTGAT